GTTTCTCATCCCTTTGAAAAGTCCATCGTGTACGAATTGTCTGCCAGTGTCCCTCTGCCAACTGCTAATAAAAGTCCAACATGTGTCCGGGAAACCAAAGTAAGCTTGTCGCTCGGTCGTCCAGGCATGCTGACTGTTTTAATTACGCTGTCGCGGCGACTTCTTATCTCACAGTACCTCCTTCGAAACCACTAAGTCGTCTTGTCTCTGGCCGAAATAATAACACCATCCGGTAATTCTGTGCAGCGGGGAAGCAGCCCTGAGCTTCATGAACTCAGGTGGGCCCACCTCCGAATACGTATAGGAATCGTGGGCCGAAACGTGTGTCGAAAGAGGATAATTTCTACTGATGACTGTAGATCCCCGCTGTACTTGCTCCCTGTGAGTTTATTCTTACAGGGGTATCTCTTGTGCATCCCAAAATTACCCCCATGGCTTCATTCTGAATGCGTTCAGTGCCACGACAAACGACATAACACTCTAAAAAAAAAAATCAGTACTGAAGGGAAATCTCGAGGGAATGAGAACAAGAGTTTAGCAACGATACAAATGAAAGGACAACATCAAGATATGGACAAAGAGCAGTCTGAAAGGGTGTACATTTAAGGCGTGTCAGATATCCTTTGCAGCCAACATACTCCGTTAAAGGGGCACCTAATTGATTGACTGAGATTTCTAAACGTCATAGCTGTGCTATTGAAATGTATTTTACCATCAATTACTCCTAAGATTGCAATTCAGCGTCATCATAAATTATCTTTCCCACTGAGTAAGCAGCTGGTAATCTGGTAATCTGGTAATCCTAGTTTCAGCTTCATAGCAAACGGGTCACCCCACATATGCTCCGCTCCTGTGCCAACGAAAAAACAAACGCAGCTCACAGTGTCACGCCATGCACTCAACTCAGAAGCTGGGCGACGAAACTACATCCTTTCAGTCTACAAATGGAGCAAAAATGCAACGGCCACCGTGTGGAAAAATATTTGCCACAGCTTAAAAAAAAAAAAAAAAAAAAAAAGGTGGCCGTACCTAGCGTCCATTTTGACCGGAAGAATTATATGAGGGTTAATAAACGGTCACCCCAGCAGTACCCTCATTATTAGCTGGGGAAGGGACTTAGGACATTACATCCACCAGCAGGCGTCGCCCCTACAACGACCTGCCTGTCATCGTTAACGACTGTTCACCCAACAGCCATGCAGTTCTTTGGCACGAAGGAGACACCTTGAACTTGGGTTTCGTACTGCCGACTCCCTACTAAGATGTTATTTTATGTTCTGTTATCACAATTAATGTCACTGCACATTGGGCATAGCCATGCGTGCTCAGTTCTTCGAAGCAGCAGCCACTCTAAAGTACTTCTACTAATTGTCCCCATGAGAAGCTGGTTATATTGTCTCCTTTCTCGGCCTCGAAGACGGCAAAGACGTGCATCACCATGCTTAACTCCCATGTCACGCAATCGTGTTAGTGTCAGGGATTCCTCATTCTCCTCTAGCCCGGTTCGTGCAGCGTTGACTATGTCTGCTCTGTCCATACTTTTTCCTGCAATCATTAGTGCAGTGCTTGCCAGTTGGTCTGCTCGCTCATTTCCCTTCACCCCGCATGACCCGGTGTGTAGATCCAGGTTACGGAGGTTAAGTACGATTTCCTGATGCTTTCTATCCATTCAGAGCGCATACTGCCTGTTGCTATCTTCTGAAGCATATTCATTGAGTCTGAGACAATTACTACCTGTGTGGCGGTTTGCTCGGATACCCATGCTAAAGCTCTAGAAGCAGCGGCTATTTCCATTGTCATGCTTGACGTGGTTGTCTGGTAAGCGCCGCTGTCCTCATGTATTGTTTTCCCCTTTCTTTGCGCTGTGTATGCCCATGCTGACCTTGATCCGCGCTTCACGGATCCATCTGTGTAGATGATGGTATCTTCTGGGTCTGAATGCTGATCTATCAGTTCCCTTAATTCTGTGTCTACCGCCGCAGGAATTTGATCCCTGCAGTACCTTCCGAATGTGATGACAACCTTAGAGATGCCATGCATGTCTACTGGTGTATTCGTCCATTCTTTTCCGTGGCTGATCACGTCTAGGTCACATACCTGCTGGATTAAGCCCTCAGCCTTTGCCATCCAAGAGCGGCCCCTTTTGAGTCGCGTTCCTTGTGTGTCGTGAATAGCTTTGTGTAATGGGTGGTTAACATCTGCCGATGTTACCCTCATGTAAGCCTTGAGCTGTGCCACTTTGTATCTGCTTGTCATAGTCGGCAGACCCAGGATATAACGCATGGCGTTGCAGGAGGTGTCTTTTGTGCAGCCGAGTATGAGTCTCATGGCCTCATTATGTACTCGGTCCAGTCTTTCTAGCTGGGTTTTGCTGAGTTAGCAGCTATGCTACTCCATCAATTGTCGTCTCTAATACTTCAATCTAAAAATGTCCAAAGTCAACACAAATCGTCTCAACAAAGATTTCGTTACTCACTATAAAATGTCTATTACAGCAGCGTCGAAAAACACTGATCCATTAAAATAAGGCCATAAATATACAGGTGTTCTAATTTTTTTTTTTTTTTTTTTTCAATTTTACGGCTTCCCGTTGTTTGTGTCTATGATAAGTTGTCTTTCTGTCTTACCATCCGTTAACACAATCAGACTACTTGTTTGGTTTTTGTTCCCCAGGCAGGTTTCATGATTCTTTTGTCGAAGAACACCTTAGCGACCTCAAAATATTTTTTTTTCTTAATGTATTGTTTAGGGTTCTAATTCGCATGTTCTATTTAGGCTGTACAAATGATGTTTCTAATCTCTAAAAAGAGGCATTTATAATTTGCAGATGTTTTTTTTTTTAATGTTCATTATCTCAGTGATACGTCTTCATAAGCTATTATGCACTTGCCAAAGTACACACATTTGTGAACTGGCTCCAGATTTATGCAACACAGTTTATTTCTTTAGGTATGATACGCTTCTTTAAAACTACTACTGCTTCCTGTTTTTATATTAGTCACTTTCTTAAGAGGAGAGAGGACAAGGTTGGGGTGGGAGAGGGGAGGGGGGTGGGAGATATGCATAAGTCTGTGTAGTCCAGTGTACAGTGTTCCTATCAAGGCAAGTTAGTGCATAATTTTGGGTAGTTCTTTATACGGTGTTTCTATCAAGGCAAGTTAGTGCATAATTCTGGGTAGTTCTTTCTACGGTGTTTCTATCAAGGCAAGTTAGTGCATAATTCTGGGTAGTTCTTTCTACGGTGTTTCTATCAAGGCAAGTTAGTGCATAATTCTGGGTAGTTCTTTCTACGGTGTTTCTATCAAGGCAAGTTAATTTTATTATAGCCACTAGCCGCGATCGTTGGTAAAGTTTCTAATTATTTCATTATATTCTCGTTTGATCTTAATAACTTCTCAGGAAACAAACACATATTTTTGTTTACTGTTCTTCTTTTACAATGAAATATTCTAGCATGGTTGGTGATTCCTATTGCCTACTGTTAGTTGTCAATATAAGTATTTCATTTTTTTTTTTACAGATCTTAGTCTTTGATGTATATTCGTTCCAGCAGTTTTGCTGATTCATTATGATTCACACTGTTTAACGCTTTAACGTAATCTATGAAGCATAACCATACATCTGTTTTTATTTTTATAGCTATTTCTTATATCGTCCCAAGAACAAGCATTAACTTACGGACACATTCTGAAGCATAACCACAGATCTGTTCTTATTTTTATAGCTATTTCTTATATCGTCCTAAGAACAAGCATTAACTTACGGACACATCCTTTTACACAAAGGAGAGCTTTGCTTATTATCATGTATTCATTAAGTACTGTTACTATGGTCGCGACCAATAGGGTGTTGTATATATCAGATTGAATTAACGAATGAAAAGATTCGTTTCTTTACTTTGCCTTTATGGAGGTGTAGACTTAGAAAACAATCTAATTTATAATTTATAAAGACATGTGATCGCTACATAGCATATGTAAAATCTATACAGATACTCTAAACTATGAATAAATCCAGCCCGCAAACAATAGAGAACTTCAAAATATGACGGAGCCAGCAAAAGCAACACGAAAATCCCTTTACTCATCCATTTATGGAAACAGACATCTGGTTTTACAACAGATGTGGGAGAAAGTTGTAGACGTCTCAATATGTAAAATTCACATTATTACAGATTTTAAGTCATATGCTGAGGAATTTGCTAAAATCACAGACATAGAAAAATAACTATTTTTTCTCCAGCCAGTTTGGCACCGAGACAAACAACAAATAATTCTACACCTACGATATCATTTTAGACAAAGCAAGTCTGCAGAACAACAGGGTCACCTTTACTGAATTAATCACATCGAGAAAAGGCATAATAAGAATAAAAACCTTCATGTAATGCCCGGGTTTATTTGAACAAGCTCCTAATAACATTATGTATTAGCGCAAGATGAATTCCAAACATTAATCCCGTTCCTGCTCCCCTTAAAAGACACTCGATTGTTTTCTCATTTCTCCTGAATTGGCTTTGATACCCTGTGTCGTGTTGCTTGATTTATACAAGCATGTCTCTCATTTGTCTGTACTACCAACTATATCGCTACAGCATAATAAATCTATTTCGGAAGCAGAAGCTAAATTTTTCTGTTCTTGATTTTTCAAATGAAAATATAGGCGTGGAAAAAAAAGATTAAACACAGAGACTATAAGATTTAGGCCAACGGCAAAAGACATAAGTCCATAACGACCATTCGAGAGTGACAAGTTTAAGGCGAGTAACCAAGAGGTGACGAGCAGCTGTCTGAGAAAGTGTACATCTACGAGGAATGACAGTGTTAAAGACCTTCATTGTGGATGGCACCAGATAGATTAATTTATTGCTTTACTGATTGACTGAGGTTTAAAATGTTCAAAACTTGTCAATGATCGACATTTAACCTTGTCTAACACTAGCATTTTTCAAGTTTCAGCTCTGCCTTTCATTGACCGATGTATTGATTTGTATCCCACAGGTCAATTTCATATTCTTGTGCAACATTCTCCGCATACTGGTGACACAGTTGCAGTCGCACCCTAACGAACCCAGTAATTTCAGGTAATGGCGCCACACTCTATCCTACTCGTGATGTATTATTAAAAAGTATTTTACATTAAGTTCATATTTATACTTTACATTCCTGACACAAATTTTGATAACTGAAGATAATATACTTGATGTATATAAAATACAATTGCCGTATGAAAGATGAGTGTTATGAAATGGTCGAATGTAAGACGGGCTTCCGTGGTCAATCTGTTTCCCTTTGGAAAAGAAAGTTCGGTCGTTCTTCCAGTATGGGTATAAATGTGTAGCAGAACTGATCTGGCGCATTTTAGGATAGTGTTGGTAACCTGCAACATCATAACGCAGTTTAAAGTAGCAGGCTGTTTAACAAACACCCCGATGAATGCTCGCTCTATTGTCCTTTACTTGCAAGTACATAATCTGGTACCTATTTTAGGCTGGTCAGAATGGGTACCTCAATTTCAGTTTGAGATAATTAGGTCTACATGCACACGTCTAGCTTTATTATTTATTTTAAAACAAGCACACTTGTTTCATTCTAAAAAATTAAAACATACTTTTGCACAGAACTAATTCACAGCTGTTTCGCAACATTATCGTTTCGTCACTTTCCATTTAGCGTAGTCCGTGCCTGGAATACATAAGGATGAAAGTGTGTATTTGGATAGCTGTTTATAAAAATGTCTCATCGTAAAATAGTTCCTGTGTTACTGATGATGATATCCGGTTTGGTAGTGGTGACTGAAATGTCAAAGTGAAAGAATTAGAATGCTGCATTATTACCAGATTGGTTTATAAATCTGGCCAGTGTGTGAGACAGAGAACTATAACAGCCGACTCTTGTCGACAGGCCCACTAAGATTTTTAGCCAATGTACTAATAACTGTGTTAAATTAGATTATTCATTCTAGTAGTGAGTAGGCGTTTTTCTTCGAGGGAGAACGTTATTGAGAAGGTGAATTTTGATGTCTGCTAGGTATCTTTTTTTAAAAACAGTATTAGGGTTAATCGTAGATCTTCTTCATCTTCTTCTTTTCTTCTCTCCTATAATGCCTCGCTGCCTCATGACAGGAAGATATTTCTGGAACGGACCCTTCTGTTCGCTTCATATAAAGTCTTTTTCAGTGTCTCTGATATTTCTGCGGTCTATGTTCTGCGTGGTCGACCTCTGGAACTGTTATCGCTGTATCTATATAGTATTGCACTATGTGGTGCCCTGTCTGGTGTCATTCTGGTTACATGGCCAAACCATCCGATTTATTGATTACCTATAAAGTTCAGTATTGATTCTGTGCCGACTCTCCTCCCGATATCATCGTTCCTAAGTCGATCTGTTCTCGTTACAACTGACATAGTACTTGAACATTTCATGTCTGTCGCGATTATTTCCTTCTCTGTCTTCTGAAGACAATGTCCATGTTTGACAATCATAGCATAACATTGGTAAGAATATTGTGTTGAACAGTGTCCTTTTAGTGTTCCTATTCACATCCTTTATAAATCATCTAAATCTGCCCTCTTAAAAGTAAAGTAGTTTGCAGTGTGGTATCACAGGATCCTATTTTTGTATGAGCCGTCTCCTCAATGGAGGTTTGCTCAAGTGGATTTTGAACCCACTGCTGTCTTTGAAAAAAATTCACCTTCAATCTCTTTCACAACACGACTGTCGTAAAGCCACGCACAAGAGCAGTATTTGCATAAGCTGACCGCAGCGGAAGTCAAACCGTGGTGCTTCAAGGATTCGCATTTTAGTGAACGCATTTACTAAAATCTAGGCCACAGAGCGCCATTTTCTTTCATTTGCTATATCCAAAACAGAACGTGCAGTATTAGAAGAAGAAAAATTGTAAAATTAGCTAAATATCCTCATGCAGTTGCCAAACAGGTTTTGTATTTACGGCGTTAAGATATTGAGAAATTAGATGGAAAATAAGGATATTTTTTAGATATAAGGCTCAATGCATCTTTCTCCAGATAAGAGACAATTGCTCTCAGTTATTGAAAGCTTGAAATTAGGGAGATATTGCCAGGCAGCCAAGAATGACCAGCTCACAAATGATGCATGTGTACAGTTAATGCTACACAGTAGTCGACACAAACACACAACGCTTACTTAGAATTCAAACTTAGAATTCGTGCCCTTTACCATTCAATCTTATTTACAAATGCTGAGAACATTCAATAATGATGAGAACATAACTATATATATATATGTGCCAATTGGTCTATAAAATATTGGTCTAGCATTTTATGCCCAGTAAGCCTGAAGGCGCTGAAAAGGTCCTTTACTTCATATTTAGTGTTTACTTATACGCCCAAAACACCTTTCTACCTTTGTAAGAATTTTCTTAACGCGAGCGGGTCTTGCTTGTCGCACTCACCATCACCGTGGGTTGTGATATCCTTGCTTTGCTATTTCATAATTTGACACTATCGTCTGGAAACAAGGAAAAGTGCAATAAACTAAGCATACTGTGTGTATGTGAGTGTGTAGTAAACTTGAGGTGTTTTCATGATCAAAGAGCTGCACAAGAAACTGCAAGTGGGCGTAAATAGAAAGTCTAGAAGGACCAACGACTATTATGGAAGATGACGTAGATGAATCTAATCATAATAAACTACTCAGCGATTTCTAAACCTGTCACTGTATTTACTTTTGTGCGGCTGCTGTTTGATGTTTATTTCCAGTTAGCAATCTGGCTAGATTAAATTTGCAAGACCTTCAATAAACTATATTATTTGAACTCTACAGTGTTCCACAGACTTGGCATTTTAATTATGCGTGGGTGGTGTTTTTCCATGAAATGAATAAAGAAAGACAGAAAAGGGAAGCTGTTAAAAATGTTTTGAACGATTTATGATTTTGGTCTAATGTACCCAAAGGTAGACAATCAACTCGTTTGTTCTCAAGATGCTGTAAATTTTAACTTCATATATCCTATAGATTCTATGAGAAAATAACAAATAATAATGTCTGGTGGATTTTGGTAAAGACTTAAGTCATAAGCAGTTAATTAATAATTTAAATATTGAAAGTTATGTAGCCTCTGTCTATGGCAGAAGACACTAGAGCATATTCTCTGAAAAAGCGTATAATTCTTACTGAATATTAATTTAAAAATCGAAACCATGGCTCACTACATATCTATAGATGCTCTGTCACCAGCAAATGTCAAAGGTGTAGATGTTTACTTTTCCCGTAGCAAGCTGTTGTTCAGCTTGTCTCATGTATGACCCTGCCTGCCTTATCCACTCCTAATTCTTTGTTCACACGGTCTTACAACTTTTAATTCATCACACCTCGTATTTTATGTCGGCATTCATTCATAAATGTTCCTCGTAATGTCTCCTTTGTCCAATACGAGTGTTCCTGTAGCTATCGCACTAGAAGCAACATTAACAAAAAATCGACGAAGTTTTCTATTCCACTCTTGCAAACACTGAAAGTATATCCAAGTGAATCCTTGTCATGTGGACAAGGACTCACGGGGATTTCTATCCGGGAAATATAGGAGTAATCACGTGTTTTGTACTGAAAGTGTTTACATACTTATTACCTTTTTTATATCCTTCTGTTATTTCAGGAGAGCCCTAAAAGCTACATTTGTCCTAATACCCCTGTTCGGCGTACAGCTCTTTGTGACAATCTATAGACATCCAGCAGGAAGACCTGGGGCAGCCGAGTATGAGAAGTTTTCCGTGTTTGTATTAAATTCTCAGGTAGGTCAGAAGTTATTAGTTAACATTATTCACAGCTGTATAGCTCAAATGTTACATTTTCATATATACCAGAAGAAAGTAAAAGATCCCTTTTCATGTCTTAGGCCCATCGGGCACATGGGAAGAGCACGGGTAATTTGGTCAGCATTACACCAGCCGTCTTTACTTCCCCAGGACAGCCATCCTGGTACGTAATTTAGGCTGAGTCGATCTGCGACGCCCATACCATGATAAAATTCCGCGTAGCCAGCAGAGAGTTTCGATCGCGGTACGATGGAATTACGAGTCTGACTCGCAACGCCTAAACCACGGACGTCGCGCCAGAAGGCGAAGGGTTAGCATTTTATCACCTATGTATTACATTTGGAAAGTGAAACAGTAGTGTGCTTAATCATCCTCTATGGTGAATTACAGATGCTAGAAGATGTCGAGGCCTGCTTCTTCAAAGATACAGGTATTTAGGTAGATTCGTGGGAACAAAATGTCATGGACCGCATTGAGTGGAGAAGGAAAATCAGAAGAAGAAAAAAATAGAATAAAGGAACAAATGTCATAGACCTTCTTGAGTGAAGAATGAAAATCAGAAAATAATTAGAATAAAGGAACAAAATGTCATTGACCGTCCTGAGTGGAGAACGAAATTCAGAAAAAAAAATGAGAAAAAATAAACAAAATGATTACAGAAAGGCTGAGAGCTGAGCGTCTGAGATGAAGCACATTAAATACAGGCTGTAGCAACAACTGTCCTGACATCCCAAGCTCTAATTGGGAAAGACCATTTTTAAACTTGGACTGTTCTTGCTAGTTACACTCGCCATCACCACGAGCGGTGATTCTCGAACATCCTAGTAGCACAGTATAACACTACCGTCTAGAGCAGTGGTTATCAACCTTCCTAATAGCGTGACCTTACTACAGTCCCTCGTGTTATAGCGACCATTTGTTTTGCGATGGTCTTTGGCGACCCATTGTGAAAAGGTCGTTTGACCCTTAACAAAACAAAAAAGGTCGCGACCCATAGGTTTAGAACCGCTGATATAGAAAGACGGAAAGGTGCCCCCAAAAATGCATGTCAATAGTTGAATCATAAAACTGCAGTTATGCATGTTTTTCACTATGAAGCATTACAAATTCTTAGGAACGCCTGAATTTATTAACTAACATTATTTTCACATCTTTATGGTGAAATATACATATTAATTTAGGCCAAAGGTGATTATTCAACATGATTTCATACTATATAGTCTAAATATAAATGTTTAGGTACGGCAAAAGTAAATGGTTATCATTTTATAAGACCTGTTTCTTTTAAATATACATTGTATTTCAGATATCATTGGTGAACGTTTGACCAGGTCGTTGTATCATATTGACATATAGTGAAAAATGCCATTACATGTTAAGAAATATTACCAGAAGAGACTTGTCGAAATGCTAGACCAAAAGCTGAGAGACTTGTTCTCATATATGACAGCAGAGCTTTCATCAATTATAATCTCTTTCAGAATATTTTTTCCTTGGCTCCAAAATTGACACAACCTACGTTCACGAATCAGCAAATTGGTACCAAGCGTGTCGTAAAAGCAAATTGGTTAGCAGATTAGTTGGGATGTTTCCTTTGAAGTCGGAGTGCGTCTGCCTGAAAAGCAAGGCGCCAAAAGTCTGCTCTCAAATAAGCCAGATCTTTAAAACTGATGGGCACATAAAATTTATTTTCTGGATCAAGACTGAAGTCCAGAATTGGACTGACAACCAGAACTTTCTGTTGAAGTTTACCGCCGGTGAATGCAAAGGGAAAAAAGAAGAAGAAGAAGAAGAAGAAGAAGAAGAAGAAGAAGAAGAAGAAGAAGAAGAAGAAGAAGAAGAAGAAGAAGAAGAAGAAGAAGAAGAAGAAGACTTGTAACTTAACATGTGACTTTTTGACATGCTACCTGCACTCACACACAGGAACAGGGATGTAAACATTAGTTTTGCAGAAATAGATATTATTTCCAGGAGACAATGAATACACATTAGATTGCTTTTTTTTTTTTTTTGGTTGGGGGGGGGGGGGGGAAAGGGGGGGGGGAGTCTTTGGCTGTTTGGTCAAAGCCTCCGGCACACTAAGTTAAATTGATATCTTATGGTGCTCATGTCGACTGAGTTTCAAAAAAGAAGATTTGTTTTTCCTTCCGACTTTAAAAAGAGGTATGCTGAGTTGTGTTATGGTATGCAGCTAGGCAGCCGTGTACGCGCCTTATTTGAGCAAAAACAGAATTAGCAGTCCTTTAAGAAATGTTTATTTCAGGCTGTGAGTCTGTTTTTGTTGTTTTCACTAAATCCTGGGGGGGGGGGGGGGGGGGGGGGTGGAAGAAGGGAGTTGAAACACATGGAGAATAAAACATGGAATCTAATCTATCGGAGTTAATTTTGCTTCAGAGACTTTTTCCCAACCAAGTACCAGAGGGGTTTCACGGTTCGTTTTCTCAAATAGTACATTCTTCTGCTTTGTCCAAGAAGTATACAAGACCTGTTCCCAGAGGTCAGATCCGTGAAGCGCTGTAATAGGATATAACTAGACCATGATTATGTCATTCAGTACAGAATTATCCCTCCCCACGACGCTTCGTGAGTTACATTGGTAACTGTAAAGGGGAAGAAAACTAAAACTAATATCGGTCTATTACTAGTGGAATTGCGATTGGTGGGGAAAGCATCTCTCCTGGTGATAGGTAGTACTTTGCTCAGATCCTCTTGCAGGATGTGTTCAGTGTAGAAGTGGCCACGGAATAAGTCAAGAAGTTCATGTGATTTATCTAAGAAGTAAGAGTAATCTGACCACAAGCTGCGTAATCGAAAGAGCCAAAAGTCCAAGAAATATTCAATACTTGTACCAGAGCGTCACATCCGTGAAACACTATAATAGGATATCACTAGACCATGATTATGTCATTCAGTACAGAATTATCCCTCCCCACGACGCTTCGTTGAAGGAAGTATGGGATGAAATGAAGAAGCTGGAAAATCGTTCTCTTCAAATAATAAGTAGCTTGTGCATCGTCAGATATTGATTGGAATCGTATAATACGTGTAAACAGCGGACATTTTTGAACAAATTACGCAACAGAATCATTGAAAGCTACACGTACACTGGAATAGGAAAATGTTCACTGCGCTTTAAATTACTTTAAAATGTTTGCTGATATCATAATAATCTGTTTGTCATATTCTTATTTCGGCATTCGTGCCAGATTTCTACAACAAAATGCAGCTGAATAGAATAAATTACACAGACTGTCCAGACTAGAAGAGTTAGTTTGGTAACTGTGAAAGGGATGAAAATTAAAACTTAAATCGGTCCATTACTAGCTGAATTGCGTTTGGTGGAAAAAGCATCTCTCCTGGGGATGGATAGTTCAGAGCCTGTTGCGGGATGTGTTCAGTGTAGAAGCGGGCACAGAAAAAGTCAAGCCTGAGTCCGAAGAATCTCAGCACAGTGCACAAACTCTGTAGCACGGGCGAGGATCCTGAAATACTTTAGGTATAATTTTAATTCAAATTTTGCCCGGGCAACGCTGTTAGGCTACTCTTTTAGATTTCCAACTGCTAAGAGATTTTCGTTACGTGCACAACAATACACACGGGCATCCGGTCTTAGTACCCAGAGACCAGGAGAAATTACTAGAAATCCACGTGTAAAAATCCCAGCCTTCACCGGGGCTTGAACCTGGGACCTCCAGCACTCGAGGCGGATGCCATGCCCCGAGACAATGCAGCTTGCAATTTTTGAAAGAAGTTTGAAAAAATATATATATAATGCCACATTTGAAAGGAATATTTCCCCTTTGAAATCTGAACAAACAGGACGCAGAAGACAGACTGCACAATCTCTTACGGCATAAATCCAGTGCTACAAGTAGGTAGGTGGGATTTGCATTTGCTCCTGAGAATCTGTAGGACGGATGTAGACTGTAATTTTTAAATACGGTTTAGATCAGTAAGATGAATATGATAGCTGGATTAAAAATGTTCATGAAATGAATGAATTGGTCGAGATGACTTTTGGACATTTTAATAATGCCAACCCGATCATCTATGTACCTCTCGTACAGACCCCTTACTCCGATGGAACATTGTGGCTGCTTCCAAAATATTCTTTCGCCATGTGGACATAATCAGGTCTAATCCAGATACCAAGAGGATCTTCAGTGAGAAACCTAGATTAGTCTACAGACCAGACCTTACCCTTAAAGATATACACCTCAGAAGCCGACTCCACTGATCCAGACAACACTATTTTGGAACTGCGAAATGTACCCGAACCACGTGCAGAACATGCCCATTCGTTGTTTAGATCTCATCTGTTAGTTTCCCTAACGGTCCTTTCCAGGTAAGGGAAGCGTTTACATGTGAATCCCGAAACGTATTGTATGATATAATCTGTAACAGATGCAAAAAGGAAAATATTGGGGAATCTAACAGCAAGCTAGCTGATCTTTCCTGTAACATCTCTCGGAAATTGAAAAGAAGACCCTTAAACCAACCACTCTTCATTTCAACAGGTCTGACCACAGCTGCGAAAAAGTTTTATATGTCACTGCCTTAAAATCATGCTGTGGCGATAAAACCACTTTTTTTTTGTTTTTGAAAATCGTCGCATCAGTAATCTATTTGTTCAAAGCCCAGCAGGCATCAACGTTCAGCTTTCCTTCACCTAAACAATGTTACTATTCTTGCCATTATTTCAATTTTTTTTTTTTAATTTCATGTTGTATTTTTATTTTATTCTATTCGTTTTTATGGATCATGGGTATTTTTATCCTAAGAACAACTATGTATATTGCTCATATTACTTAAATTACTATTTTTATCTATTTCATTATTTTATTTCATCCATTCCACATCAGTTTTTTTCTTTTCCTATATATTTCATTTATTCGCATAAGCCTGTTAGGACAGGGGCGGGGGGCCGAGGGGGGGGGGGCACTGACTGCTGAGTATTCCATCCTCTGTTATTATTT